ATAGATGTTGAGTGGAAATAGGATTATTGTTAATGCAGCCTATACATTTTATAAGATATTTTTTGTCTAAAATCTGTCAAATTTATAATTTTTACAGTGTTTTTAGACTGAATATACTTTATAAGAGCAATTGGTTGTTATGAAAATCTTTTTTGTATAAACCTAACCTTGCAAATTAGGACTCTTGGAGTTGAGGACTAATATTGCTCATGAAGATATCCTTTTGTCGAAGTGCTAAATAGCATTTTATCAGTTCCATGTTCTTTATGAATATTTCATTCAATAAATATTAATTATTTACTATATGCTAGACTCTGTTCTAGGCTGGGAATACATCAGTGAACAATATTACTACTCTCATGGAACTTACATTCTACTAGATTAATTATGTGATTGGACTTACAAATTAGTTTGAGAAGAGAACTAATTCTTATCATTACTACAGCTAGCATTGTATCTGACAAAGTCATTTACCATTCTGGGCCTTAATTTTCTCATATGAAAAGTAAAGAAATTTGACTAAGGTCCCTTTCATCGATAAATGCTTAGTTACTTCTGGAAAACTTAAACTTCATTAAAGTTGAGTTTGTGGACAAGCAATAGTAGGCATGGGAGTCTAAAGTGATTAGATGTTTTTTGAATAGCATGAGACAGACATGAATGAATATCAAACACAATGTTTAACAAAAAAAAGTCAGATATAAAAGATACACTATTATTTCATTTACGTAAACTTAAAAAATAAAAATCAGGATAGTGATTACCCATGTGTGGAGGTTAATTACTGAAAGGGGATATATGAGGGCTTCTGGGGTTCTGGTAATATTCTGTTTCTTAATCTAGATACTGGTTACGCAGCTTGTGTTCACTGTATAAAAATTTTCAGAGCTATATACTTATGATTTGTGCACTTTTTTATATATAGTATACTGCAACAAACACACACACATATCAATATACAGAGAGAGAACACTCACTCTTAAAAGTATGGTTTCTAAACAGATTGAATCTAGTTGCAAAATGTTAGATACACTCGTGACCACTGAGTGTTGGGAATTCAGAAATGAATAAGACATTATCCCTCCACGGTAGATGTATGTTCAGTGTGATAATAAGCAGGGACGATCTCGAACTGAAACAAATGCATTTCTGGAAAGCCTTCACAAATAAAGTGACATTTTAGTTGATAGAGAAGAAGAAGAGGATGCCATTTTAAGGAAAGAGAAATCCACAAACAGAAACTCATGATGTGTCTAGTTAATAATAAAAAGATGACTGGAGTGCGGGTTGCATGGTGGGGAGGAGTAAGAAATTAGTCCAGAAAGTTTGGCCAGATTATGGTGAGTCCTGTGTTTGGTGCAGAAATACTTAGGTTTATAAACAATGAGAACCATCAAACTTCTTTTGTTTTTATGAAGAAGTGATTCAAAGGTAGAGAAGGGATTGAGGGTGAAGTAAAGGAAGATTGGAAGCTGGTTAAGGGAGTATCATAATAGTCTAAGCAAGAGATGATAAAAGTTATATCTAGGGTGAGAGCTATGAAGATAGAGATGAATTTAGAAATATTTCAGAACTAGAATTGATATCTTGATGGGTGAGGGAGAGGGACGAGTGAGAAATAACTTCATTCATTTGTTCATTCAACAAATATTTATTGAGTTCTTGCTAGGTGCTAGGCACTATGCTAGACTGGAGGAGACAGTGATAAACAAAACAGAGGGTCTCATGGAGCTTACAGTCTAAAACAGAGACAGATAGTAAGCAAGTAATAACAAATAAATATAAAATTGCATACTGTGATTATTTGAGGAAAAAATAGGAATTGATTAAGAGTGTATAACTGAGGACTTATTCTGCCCTATAGAACTTTTCAGGAGAAGCAACAGTTGAGCTAATCACTAGAGGAATACTAAAAATTAGCATGATTAAAAGACTGAGGACACTAAATAGCCAAAACAATCTTTAAAAAGAACAAAGCTGAAGGGCTCATACTTCCTGATTTCAAAACTTACTACAAAGCTACAGTCATAAAAACAACATGGTACTGACATAAAGACAGATGTAGATCAGTGGAATAGAAAAGAGCCCAGAAATAAGCCCTCCGTGTATAGTCAAATGATTTTTGACAAGGGCTCCAAGATCATTCAATGGGGAAATGGCAGTATTTTCAAAAATGGGGCTGGGAAAACTGGATTTCCACATGCAAAAAAATGATGTTGGACCCTTACCTAACACTATATATATAAAATTAACTCAAGCCATTCAACTCAAAAACCTAAATATAAGACCTAAAACTAGAACTCTCTTAGAAGAAAATACAGCAAATTTTCATGACAGTAAATTTGGCAATGATTTCTTGGATATGACACTAAAGACACAGGCAACAAAAGAAAAGTAGACAAGTTGGACTTCATTAAAAATTTTAAATGTTCATCAAAAGACAACACCAACAGAGTAACAAGGCAGCCCACAGAATGGGAGAAAATATTTGTCAACCATATATCTGATAATGGATTAATATCCAGATTTCATGACAGTAAATTTGGCAATGATTTCTTGGATATGACACTAAAGACACAGGCAACAAAAGAAAAGTAGACAAGTTGGACTTCATTAAAAATTTTAAATGTTCATCAAAAGACAACACCAACAGAGTAACAAGGCAGCCCACAGAATGGGAGAAAATATTTGTAAACCATATATCTGATAATGGATTAATATCTAGACTATATAGAGAGAACTCCTAAAACTATAACAACAGCAAAAGCAACCTGATATAAAAATGGGCAAATAACTTGAATAAACATTTCTTCAGAAAACATAAACAGCCAATAGACACATGAAAAGATTCTCAACATCACTAATTGGGGAAAAGCAAATAAAAAATACCGTGAGACACCACTTCCTCCTCATTAGGA